GTGTGTGTGTGTGTGTGTGTGTGTGTGTGTGTGTGTGTGTGGATGTGGGCTTACAGACATGCACCATTACCCTAACTTGCATGTGGGTATTGGGGGTAGAACTCAAGTCCTCATGTTACACACCAATTATTGTACCCATGGAGCCATCTCAACAGCCCACAAAGAACCTTTTAAAGTTATCGAATAACTCATAATCTGTTTGTGATAAATATTTGAGCAATAAGAAGAACTTTTTTTTAACCTTTATGGCTCTTATCTAAACTGTTATATTCTTTTCAAGTATTCACTAGTCCCCCGGCTTGGAGGAGTAGATTATTTAGAATACTCAGTGGAAACGTAAGACCTGGTTGTCCAACCTCAGAGAACTTGCCTTCTCCTTGTAGAGCGTAATGACACACATGAGCACTAAGGAGTCAGATGTGGGAGGCATAGGCAAGAGGGTCCTAGGGCTAGCCTGAGCTACATAGTGAAGTCCTATCTTGGGAAAGAAATGGCTGAGTCCTTTTCTAGATTTTTAGGCACTTGTCGGCCTGGTCCAGTAAACAGCCACCAGGGTCTTAACTTCCCATGGAGACACCTCTGACTTACCCGTTCTGTTCACGTTTTTGGAGGTGTTTTTCTCTTAACACCCCCAAAAGAACTGGGGTACGAAAAAGATCACGGGACGCAGAGTCAAAGGAAAACTGGAGACACAGACCTGCTAGTCTCTGATTGGGTGATCTTGACAAGTTAGTTCACCTGCCTGGCCTCGGTCAAAAGGAGGGAAGATGTTTGCAGGAAGCCTTTACGGCTACAGTGTCCCACTAAACAGACCGCACTTCCCACGGCTCCTCTGGTTACCATCGACTCTGAGCAGCTGACTGCTCTTCCATCCTTAGTGCTCGGGCTACAGGCACGAGCTCCCACACCTGGCTACGACCTCATGACTATTTGTAATTTTACTCACTATTATGTGTGTGTGGTGTGTGTACATGTGTGCGTGCAAGAGCAGCATGAGTGTGGAGGTCAGAGGTCCAACTTTTAGGAGTCGGGTCTCTCTTTTCTATGTGGGTCCCCTGAATCAAACCCACATGGTTGAGATGTGTGGCCCCTGCTCTTACCCACCCGGCCATCTCATTGGCCCTGGCGGAGTTATTTCCCAAAACCAATATTTGGTTACTTTCTCACTTTAGTAAACTATTATTCCCAGACTGGGTTTGTAAAAATATAAGTGAAACAATTAATACAACAGCACACGCCCCCCCCCCACTGCCCCTGCCAAATATCTTACAAATATTACTTCTAAAGCCATTTAAAGAAAGTATTTCTTTTTGCAGGTTCACCTTTTTGGAGTTTTGCTGGCTATTTTAGGAAACCTGGTCATCAGCATTTCCCTAAATATCCAGGTAAGAAAAACTCTACTTTGACTGCAGCTTGATCTGGGAATGCATTATACCTGTCACAGGTAGGGTATTTCTGCTTCTCAAGCTCTTTCATCCAGGGGAGGAGGAGGAAGAGGAGGAAATTATATTTTGCCATCTAACTGTATAGACTAAAGGTCTTGCAGAATGTTGGATATACAGTAAGAACTCCAACTGAATTATAAACCTGACAGGGCCGGCATTGGTGGCGCACACCTTTAATCCCAGCACTCGGGAGGCAGAGGCAGGCGGATCTCTGTGAGTTCGAGGCCAGCCTGGTCTCTAGAACCAGTGTCAGGACAGGCTCCAAAGCTACAAAAAAGAAAGAAAGAAAGAAAGAAAGAAAGAAAGAAAGAAAGGAAGGAAGGAAGGAAGGAAGGAAGGAAGGAAGGAAGGAAGGAAGAAAGAGAAAGGAAAAGAAACCTGATTTCACTGCTGTTACTAAACTAAAAAATGAATGAGATCTGAATTTTAAACCAAGCCATGAATTCAATCTAAATTTTAAATCATTTAGCAAGTCGCTTTGAAACAGAATCAAACCAATCTAGTTGCTAAAGCTACTGAGTTAAAATAGGTCTGGAAATCAAGATACCTCCTTGAATGTTATATCATTTTATGTAAAACTTCACTAGACCATAGCCTAATATAATTGTTAGTAATTTCTAAGAAATGTACTTATTCCTGAAAAAATACAGAAATAAATCATGTTTTATTTTACTGAGATCCGTCGCTGTGACAAAGTACCAGAGGAAAATCTACTGGTCAAGGAAAAGATTGGTTTTTGGCTCACGTCCACTTTGTACTGTTCTTCTTGGCCTGTGGCTGTCAGTACATCATGGCTGGAACACATGGTAGAACAGGTCTGGTCACCAGCTGTGGCCAGGAAGCAGGGCAGGGTGGAGGGGACAATAGGAAAGTTTACAATAACCCATCAAGGACACACCCCCGGTACCTAACTTCCTTCAAGTAGGTCCTATCTCTTTAAGGATCCCCATCCCCTAGAGACACAAAAGCTGAAACCAGGCCTTTAATACATGAACCATTGTGGGGCATGTTAGACCCAGTAGCATTTATTAAAAAAGAACTTCAGGGGCAGGAAGATGGCTCAGTGGGTAGCATTTGCCTCTAAGCCCAATAGCCAGACTTCAACCCCTAGGATCAACACGGTAGAAGGGGTGAACCAGCCTCCCAAACTGTGCTCTGACCTCTACATGTGCTCTGTGGCATGCTAGTTCACAATTGAGGTGTTTGTTTTGTTTTGTTTTGTTTTTTAATGTTCTATGCTTTCTTCTAGACCTCTAATTATGTTTTAAGATGATCTGGGCCAGTCTACTAGTCTTTGAAGGAAATATGCTCAGTTATCATAGAAATGTTTATAATGAGTTCCTCGGGACACATAGGTTCCCTTCCTTTTTTGCAATGCTGGGGGTGAAGCCCAGGACCTTGTGCAGGCTCATGAAGTTCACTACCACTGAACTGTGCCTATAGTGCATTGCACTTACGTTTTAAATGCAAAGAAATATTCAGAGCAGCTATGAAATGGGTCTGCCTGCCACAGCTCCCAGCAGCTTGCCTTCTGCCATGCTCTATCAATTGTGGTAGATGCTTCACCCAAAGATACACGTGAAACCCTTCTAAAAACACCGTCTTTAATACTTCACTGCCTTTATCTTGTTAACGATTCTTTTGGGATCTGGAGCTGCTTTAAATTCTAAAAATAAACCATCTTGGCATAGTGCTCCGAAAAGGTCCTCACCCCCATACTTACCTTCAGATGGCAATGAGGGTACACATTTTACAGACTTGTGAGCAGGGGGAGAAAAGCAGTGTGCTAACTGCTTGATAGACAAACAGAAAGCCCCGAGATAGTCCGCAAATGGATGAGAAGGCTCTGGTGTGAAGGGACATGTAAACTTTCAAAGCAAGCAGGACTTAGTGGCGCACGCCTTTATTCCTAGCGCTAAGGAGGCAGAGGCAGAGGGATCGCCGAGAGTTTAAGGCCAGCCTGGTCTATACAGTGTGCACCAGGCCAACCAGGGATAGACAGTGAGAACCTGTCCCCAAAAGTAACGTAAAAATCGACCGCAAGTTTTAATCGGGTGGAAATGTTTTCTATTTACTTTTTGATTTGCTTCCAGAAATACTCTCATCTTCATCTGGCCCAGAAAGACCTACCGAAGCCGTACTTTAAGAGCGTGCTTTGGTGGAGTGGCACCCTGCTGATGGCCGTAGGAGAAATGGGCAACTTCGCAGCCTACGGAGTTGCCCCCATCACTTTGATCGCACCCTTGGGCTGTATGTCAGTTACAGGTGGGCCATTTACCCCTATTTTGGTGATTAAGATGTTCATAAATTAATCAACAAGAGACATAACACAGAATGAAGATGGAGGTTTCTGTCCCACCTGGTCCCACAGACGCTTTGCCCCAAATAAACACACAGACTCTATATTAATTATAAAACTGTTTTGCCGATAACTAGGGCTTCTTACTGGCCAGCTTTGTCTTAATTATTAACCCATTTCTATTAGGCTATGTATTGCCACGAGCCTGTGGCTTACCCGTAGGCCAGCATGTTACTCCTTGGGCAGCATGGCGTCTCTAGGTGGGCTCCCTCTGCCTTCCTCTCCCCAGCCTTCCTTCCCCTGGTCTGGTAGCCCCGCCTATGCTTCCTACCTGGTCAATCAATGTTTTATCCATCAGCCAATAAGAGAAACATATACACAGAAGGACATCTCCCATCAACAGAAGAGCGTCTTATTTCCGATTCTCTGAGTCTGTTGACAGAGGGTAACAGTTCTAATCTCACAGGTGCCCTCTCCCGAGCCACACACCAGCAACACAGAAACATGCATTCTGTAGCTGTCCCATTTACGCGTAAAGGTCATATTCGCAACATCTGAGTCTTAACAAGTTAGAAGTCACTCTAAGTGTTATACTGTGGTTTTTGACCACTGATCTCTTATGGAAAAATATTTGTATGCGGTTACATTTTATTTTTATGTTAAACTGACAATACACGCAGTTGTGGATCACTGTTGTCTGACCCTGAATCATAGTTTGGCCTACCGTTAGCATTAAAAGTCAAATGTGAATTATTCCGCATTACCATAAGAATGCACAGTTTTATAGTAATGTCACAATTATCCACCTCCAAAGTTCATATGACTAAGTACATTTAGAGATGAATAAAATGAGTTTTTTTTTTTTTAAGGAGCAAAAATCCCTGCTAACAAGGAGGATAAATTCTACAAGCCTTGTTAAAAACTAATTTAAAAAAATCTTTTGGGTTTTATTCTTTATCTGCTGCTATGGAAACAGCATATTTCTAAATTTCTGTGAATCTAGGGTCTTCATTGAAATAGAAACAACCCGGTAGTTGTTGTGAATGACAGCATTGAGCACATCAGGTGACCACGTGGCCCCGAGTTTCACATTTCTCCAAAATATGACGTGGCACTCTCGAGGGCTTGTAGCTTAAGCTGAAAGAATGTATATATGGAGAGAATTCCCTTTTATTTAGGAAGCCTCTCATTTCCTTAAGTTTTCAAGTATTTAAGATTATTGTAATAGATGTTTTGTAAGGAAAACTTATTTCACTTTCTGGGAATTGTTGAAGCCCCACATTGAGGCCTGGAGAGATGGCTGCATGGGTGAAATTTGCACGCCTGCCTCACAAACACAAGAAACTGAGTTTGGATCCCAGGTACCCATGGGAAAGCCAGGCAGAGTAGCACTTGCCTGTAAACTCAAAACAGCAGGTGGGACAGAGAGGGCTGAATCCCAGGGACTCACTGGCCAGGCAGTCCAGCAGAAACCATGAGCTCCAGGTCCAGTGAGGGAGTTTGTTTGAAGAAAATAAGGTGGGCAGCAATAGAGGAAGACACCTGACACTGTCCTCAGGCCTCTCCACACGTACACACAGGGCAGCACCCACACACATTTACACACATGCATGTAACATAAATACATACATATACAAAAACATCCATATACTGATACCACCCTGAGGACACAGAATTTATAGAGTCATTCACCATTTTTAGCATCCCAGTAAAATAAGTAAGCAGGGTATGGGTTCTATTTTGTTGCATATCCACCGATACCCTAGACGTTTTTCTTCTCAGTGTATGAGAACTGACAGGTGGGAGTTTTTATTCGGTTGTCAACATGAGACAGAGGGGCCTTTCTGGTTTTCTGTTCTCTTCGGGTCACGCGTTCCGTCACCTCTTTCTGTTTCATGCTCCTTCCATGAAATGTCTGAGGAAGGATCGTGTGGGCAGCACCAGGGAGTGGCCACCCACGGGAAAGGGGGTGGGAACCAGGTTGCATTGACTCTGTTTACCTCATGTTCTCCTAGCTCTTGGGAAAACGTAAAGGGTAGTTAAGATGAGGATTCCCAAGTTGCCGAAGTGACTTGTCAGTGAAGCCGTCCTGTGAATCTGCTTGTCATTGCGCTTGCTCAAGGCTCTCGTTAATAACCAGGAACTTATGTTTTCCACCCTGCTACTTAGTGTGTCCCCTTCCCAGGTCCCAGGTCCCCCCTCCCCCTTGATCCATCCCTCTGCCTGGTCGGAGGAGCTTTTCACAATGATGGAAGCCATTGTTCTTTGTGCACTCTTAGCTTCAGTTAATGTTCCCACTGGAGAACAATTTAGCTACCTCCTTTCTGACCATTTAAAACTGTCCAGAGACCCTTCTGATGCCCCCTGGTACAGCTCTGCCCTGGCAGGTGGAAGAACACGCACAGGCCCACAAGGTGCCTTGCTGGCATCATTATGATGAGCAAATATTTGGTGAAGAAAAGAGAGACAAAGACATACAACAGAACTGAAGAGAAGGCAATGGGAACAGGCTGCCACCCTGGCACCCTGCCACCCTGGGGCCATGGTCATGTCCTGGCCCAGACTTCTGCCAAGCAACATGTCTGGGTCTGTGATCCTCCCATAGCCAGGGTCCGTATGGATGTCCATGGCTCCTGTTTCCATGGAAGGCTGTGCGGACACCCAGGGTTTGGGCCACCACCTGAGGCTATGTTGGTGTCCTAGGGTCAGGCTCCCACTGGGGCCATACTGATCTGAGTGGCCAACACTGCCACCCAGAGCCATGGTGATATCCAGACCCAGACTGCTGCTGAGAGCCATGTTTGGGTCTGTAGTCCTCCTGCAGCTGAGGTCAGTGCTGATATCCAAGGCCTGTTACCTCTGGGGGCCACGAAGGACCACGCATGTTGAAGTCAGACTCCACACCTAGCCCTGCTCCTCGATCAATACTGGCCCTAGAAGAACTGGTCCTGCCCCACACAGGAGAGCTGGCCCAGTAGCTTAGGTACTGAAGAGCCCGCCCGTCAAGGGAGAGTTGGCCCTGCAATAAGGAGACCTAGCCGTACCCCTCACCATGAGCCCTGTTGCCGTGGACACAGGAGAGCTGGCTCCACCCCTCACCTGAAGCTGATGTTCCCAATGGAGGCCTGAGCTGACCAACTCTGCTACCACCCAGGCCCACATCCAGGACCTCGAGTTGGCCCAGCCCAACATGTACCCCAACTATGACCTGCTGGAGCACATGAAGGGACCTGTCCTGTGGAAGCACAGCCACAAAATGTCCATTGGGTCAGGGCAACAGCAGGATCTTGAGAGGAGTTTCAGTGAGGGTCCGGTATTGATGATGTACTGGAAACCAGACGCCTTGCACCAGACCAACAACCCATCACAATGAGCATTTACAAGTGAAGCTGTTTGGACGAAGGGGTCCACTGTGTGACACACAGCAGCTCCCAAGGCCACTCTGACAAATAGGTATGTGACAGAGAGGCAGGGAAAACAGGAGCGAAGTGGGTTTTTGTTTGTTTGTTTTTGTTTCTTTTGTTTTTGGGGGGTGCTGCCTCAAGAGTGAAGCACAGATTTGGAAAGACTGAGATATAAGTGGGGTTGGGGTGCAGGATGTGAAATTCCCAAAGAATCAGTAAAGTTATGTTTAAAAAAAAAAAACTATCCAAAGAAATGAGTTTATAGCTTCAGGTACAAATCATTTCCTCCCCTTCAGCCTTTATACACAACACTATTTGCTCATAAACACTGTTCCCCAGCTCGCTAGAGCTGCAGGTGGAGTGTGTGGATGCTGGGGGCTGCCAGCAAAGCAAAATTTCCCCCTGAATCACAGCCAAAGGGTGTGGAATGGGAAACAATTCTCAAAACAAATGGCTGGTTCTGCAGACAGGCAAGAAGGCTCTGTTGACATTTTCTCACCTTTTCTCTCGTTGGGAACTTTAAGAAAGAAGTGAACCTTCCCTTGGGATTTGAAAAAAAAGATAATGTATGCTATAATTTTGCATGGATGTTACATAGTTTATGATTTTTCTTCTGTCTTTTGCTTTTAAGTGTGTGTGTGTGTGTGTGTGTGTGTGTGTGTGTGTGTGTGGTCATGATGGTGCATTTGGAATTGCTTCCCTGGAAGGCAAGAACTGACTCCTGTAGGCCATATATACACTATCATTCTATTACTTACGTACTAGAAAGTTTTAGAAAGAACTCCATCATCACAGAGGTATCTGCCATTTGGGGTCGAGAGTTCCATGGGATTTGAGCCACTGTGTAGCTTCAGAGGACGACCATAAACACGTCTACAGAACCCAGTGGCCATGGTCACTTTTACATGAAAAAATCTTAGATCCAGTGGTTTCTGCAGAAAACCCTTTAGCTGAAGCTCAAAGACACCCCATGCTATTTGCTCATAAACACTGTTCCCCAGCTCGCTAGAGCTGCAGGTGGAGTGTGTGGATGCTGGGCATGAGAGGTTAGCAGTGGGAAGAACCCTGAAGTAAGGCTCTGTGCCCAGGCCTTGCTCCAGCAATGAGTGTCGGATTCTTTGGATTCTCCGTAGACAGGTTCCTGAAGCTCATTCTGACTAAAATTGGTGGCCGAACTGCAGTACAATTAACTCTAGGTGTTGATTCGTTTTGCGTTTCTCTTGGGAAGCTCATGGGCCTCCAATTTCATAGATCCTAGTCTGACTAGTGCCCCCAGTAAACCAGCTAGTAGGACGGCCATGTATGAGCACAGCTCGGGAGACACACTGCCTGGTTGGCTCTCACTCTTGCCCCTGGCCAGCTCTGCCCAGCTCTGGATCCTCATGCACGTAGCTTAAAACATTTTTATGCGTCAGATCACTAATCTGTAAAATGGCGGTAAAAATAGTTGCTATTTCGGCATTGACTGTGAAGACCCAAGTAAGCTCAGCCACATAAGACTGTTTGACATGCAGCAGCAGCTATTGTCTGTCGGTGTGCATATAATTATAATTATCGTTAAG